TATATTATATTTTATATTATTATAATTAATTAAAATTAATTTAGCAAATATATAGCATTGTAGTTTTTTGTAATTTATATAAAAAATATAAATTAAATTATAATTATAATAATATAATATTATAATTATATTATATTATATTTTATATAATTATTATATTATATTATATTTTATATTATTATTATTATTATTATTATTATTATTATTATTATTTATATCATAGATTATATTTATTATAATTAATTAAAATTAATTTAGCAAATTTTATAGCATATAGTAATATTCATCTACTTTTACCAATTAATATTATTTCTAAATTATTTTTCACCATAATATAATATTATATAACATTAATATTATTATCCTGGTTTTTTAAATTGTTCAATTAATTATTATTTTCCCGAGACTATTTCTGCATTTAATCTTAGATACAATGAACAATATATATTTTGTATTTTAATAAAATAATTCATAAATATTTATGTTTTTAATATATATTTATATAAAATGACGTACCTTTGACAAAACCATATGAGTCGGTTCTCCGTTGAAAATTGGCACACTCCTCGCAATTGTTAATGAATTTTCTCAAACATAATTTCGGCATTTTTGGTATCTTCTTTTCCGGTAATATTCGAAATTTATTAGGCTCAATATTATAAGTTGCAACATCTGTGAACGAATCTTGATGATTTCTCATAGCAACGATATATTTGATTGATTGAGATTTGGGTAAAATTTGAAGGGTATCATAAATCTCAGTATTTTTCATCTCTTGACGTATGTGTGGATTGAAACGTGGCATCACACATGGCACATTTTCTCCTGGACAATTTCTTCTTTTTAAATCATTCAAGTGTCCCGTTAATTCAACAATAGATTTACCAATACTTAATATATATGGCGAATGTGTCATCGAATGAATAAATTTTTCCGAAAATTTGTCAATTGATTGTACTTCTTGTTTCGTTTCAAAATTAAAGGACATTGATTTTATTACGTACGATCCTGATGGTATCAGATCTAAAAATAAATTCATAAAGGATATTGATCCTAATTCAATTGGAATTTAGACATTTTAATATTTATTAATTATATCTATATATATTTATATAATAAAAAAAATAAGAATGAATAAATTTAAAGTGTCATCTTGTATGATGTTAGATTGAATTTTGAAAATTATTTAGAAATGTATTAATTAAAATTAATTAATTTTATTTTATATTATTTTTATTATATAATATATATATAGTATATAGTTATTATAACAAATTTTAAATAATCAATTTGATAATAATTCTAATTTTATATATTTATAATTATATAATAATAAATTAATATAAAAATAAATAATATATAATTATATTAATTAATATAATATAAATTATATTATTAATATAAATAATATTATTTTATTAATAATAATTATTATAATATAATTATTATTATATATTATATAATATATATATAGTATATAGTATTATAATATATTATTATATATTATATATAGTATTANGAACCTCGTAAAAGAGCCTCGTAAAAGAGCCTCGTAAACGAACCTCGTAAAAGAGCCTCGTAAAAGAGCCTCGTAAACGAACCTCGTAAAAGAGCCTCGTAAAAGAGTCTCGTAAAAGAGTCTCGTAATAAATAATAATAAATCAAAATTTGATATATTTTCTTTATGTTTTTTATATTTGTTATTTTTTATTGATAGAATAAACAATGTTATTATATTAAACAAATTAGATTTAGAAATAAATCATGCGTGTGGCCAATGTTCTTTCCACGAAAAAGGGGATGGATGGATTGTCCTCGTCCGTTCTATTTTATTATCTTTTACTTTTTGTATTTTTTTTTCTTGTTTTTTTTTTTCTTTTTTTTTTTTTTATTACTTATTTTATATCTCATCTATTTTTTATCCACCCTAAATAAAGTGGACATCCCTCTTGCGTTCGATAAATGTCATCAATAACATGGTACACCCTTATAGGCTTTTTTACTTCGATGTTTCTTGGTAGACGTGTAGGTTTGTATGTGTTAGTAAAGTACTAAAATTTTATTCGCTTACGATATTGTTTTTTTTTTTTATTTTTTTTTTTTTGATGACGACGATAAACGTTTAACGTCATTGATATTTCTCATCGAATTATATTATATTTATTATAAATGAAAAATAATTCATTCTTAGTATGTTATTAATTTATATGAAAGATTTAACGTACAACCAATAGATTTAATTTTAATAATTACTTTTTTTTTTATTTATAAACAATAATTTACTATACACTTCATTTATCATATATATATATATAAATATATAATAATATAATAAATAATATATAAATTTATATATGTAAGTAGATGTGCCCTGCCACGTGTTGCTATGGCTCACAATCAGTCCTATACACACATCTTTAAATCAACGAATTACCTTATACCGCCATCTCTTAGAATTTTGTCAAACTAACAGAGATAATCATGACTCTTTGTTAATAAACAAATAATATTGCGATTATAAATTGAGATTATAAACTATCCTATCTTTCAAGTTGGATGAAACTGCACACAGTGTGCAAAATTTGATTAAAATCGGTTCAGTAGTTTAAGAGTCCATTGCGGACAAACAACGCGTGACACGTAATTTATATATTTTAAGATATATTATATAATATATTATATAATAAATTTATTCTATAGAAATATATAATAAATAAATTATATTATATATATATATATATATAATACACTAAATTTATTATACATGTTTATTATACGATTTCGCGTGTAATTTTTAATAATAATGAAAATTTGTTTAATAATTCAAGTGACATGATGATTTTTATTTCTTTTATTTATTTTTTTTTTTTTTTTACACTGTTTCTTATTTCAATTTAATTTGACGAATATAAATTGTTCAAATTGAATTTACTGTATATAAGGTTGAATATTTTCATCAAAGATCGTCATCCAAGTTTTGAAACTTTTCGTATTTCATGAGACCTTTATGAAAAGTGTCGTAATCCTTCTCTTTATCCTCCTTCGATAAAGATCTTTTTTTTCTTAAAGCAAGAAATAAAAGTATAGGACAGTAGATTATGTTGGCAACACCTATAATCCTCATGACCCATCTAAATCCAATTTCTCTTACCAACTCTCCACCCATGATTGGTCCTTCGATAGAATAGAAAAGAAAACCACCGCGAAAAGAAAAGTTTTCAATTAGAAGATAAAATTTGTTTTTGTATGAAAAATTTCTGAAGAAAAGTTTTTCTTTTTTTTTTTTTCTTTTTCTTTTTTTCAAAGTTTTCTAAGAATATTAAATAATAATCTTACCTAAAAAATAAGCAAGACTAACTGCAACCTGTTGGATGGAATAAACGGGACCATAATTTCCATTTTGATCAACTAAACTAGCCAATAATGGTACCAATGCTGCATCAGCAATACCAATACCCAAACCCATTCCAAAATGTGGAAATATTAATTGTGACATGGTCAATGCTGACGGTATCAAAATGGCGCAAATGCCAACGAGAAGCATGGCCAATATGGCGACTTTACTGCGTCCATAACGATACGCCATCATACCAAAAAAGTTCGTTCCAATTAAATATCCAACACTGTCTGGTATAAAAACCGTTCCCAATTGCCATTTCTACACACACACACACAAATAAGAACATTTAAACTAATACATCATTTTTTATTCGTAATTTTCATTTACCTTAGGTTTAATGTGGGTACGTAACCAAATTGGTAAACATGGTTCCAGGATCGCCATTGGTGACGTTGAACACCAAATTGCACCAGCGATTATGATTACAAATGGATCTGACAAAAGTTCTCTCCAATTTGTTTCATTTTTCGATGACTAAAATAATAATAATAATAATAAAAAAGAATCATTAATTAAAATATTATTAACGAAAATTATTTAATCAACACTTTGACGCGCCATGTCAGTCATCGGTGACTGACATCAGACCCTTCCGTTTAGGCCATGTCAGTCATCTGTGACTGACACTTCAATTATTTTTTCAATACAAAGTAACACCCGTGGCCTGACAAGAATTTCCTTAAGAATTCGCGTGTCGTTCAACGTGTTCAACTTACTTCTATGTCAGTTTGAATGTCCAATGTTAATATCTGTAAACCTGTTGACAAAAAAATGATGAATAGAAAGTAGAGAATATTTGTTATAAAAAAAAAAAAAAAAATATAAGAGAATTTGATAATAAAATGAATTTCAATACATATCAAAATGACGATGAAAGAGGAGACCAACAAAAAGGGTGCCGTTTTTCCTTCCAAATCGTAAAGAACAGAACCTATTGGATATCCTAAAAGGACACCCAGTGCAATACTTCCAAGAACAAATCCCATGATCTTTGATCTTTTATCCTCTTCAGGATATTGAGAAGCTACCAAGGACATTCCAGAGACACCAATGCATGCTGAAGATATTCCTTGTATACTTCTTGCCAAAAAAAGTATCTCATATGTTTGTCCAAATGCAAATACTGTTACAAATATTAATAATTTTTAATTATTATAAAAATATAAAATTATTATTAATATTATTAATCTAATTTTAATTGAATTTTGATTTGCAAATGAATTTTGATTATATTTTTTGTTTAATTTAATTAACATTTTTGTTAAAAGTGTCATTGAATTTTTAATTGGATGAGATTTTACACAATGCAGCCAATAGGAGAGAAGGATTGTTCAATATTTAAACTATTGTAGGAATATTAAATTATTAACAACATTGTTAATTGAATTCTGACTTGTAAATGAATTTTGATTAAATTTCTTCTTAAATTTAATGAAAGTATTTGTTAAAAATGTGATGATCAACATGATTGAATTTCAAATGAAACAAAATCTTACACAATGCAGCCAATAGGAGAGAAAGATTGCCCAAAAACAATGGTCTTGCGTATCCAAAAGCACCAGTGAAACTTCCAACAGCTGGATTTAGGATCAATTGGACTAATGCTTTTGAACTAAGTAAAAAACCAACTCTACCATTTTCATCTTCGATACCACTTGTGCCATTTTTTCCATCGAGTGAACAAAGATAGTCCGGGATGATTGGTACTGAAAAAACAAAAACAGAAATAAAACAAATCCCATTTATTTTTATTATTCTTATAATAAAAAAAAAAAATCATGATATTTGTACGTATTGTATAATTTATATATTTATATACCGAGTGTCTCAATTAACACGTTCGTCGCTGAGCCCGTTTCAATTGAGTTTCTCGTCAGGCCCAAAATTTGACTGTCGACACGCCGTAACGTAAATAAGCGTAAATAACGTAAAGAAGTAAGTACAAATATTAACAATGCGACCCAAATATTATGTTTTATTTATGGAAAATAATCAAATATAAAACTACCCTTTATTTACCAAAAATAATACAAATATAAAACTATCTTTTATTTACAAAAAATAATTTTCTATCGAATTAAAAATGTGATAAATTTTTTCAATTAAAAATGCTATATAACTTTAACAAGAAGATCGTCACCGTATACGGTGACGGGGCCCCTGGGAAGCATACACCCGGTATACGGTGCTATGGCGACGAACGTGTTGTTAATAATATGATCAAATATTGCTTATGCTTATTGGATTAGAAAAATGACAAAAAAATATTTCGAAATTCGAAATGAATTCAGTAAAAAAAATAATAATAATTAATAGGATATTAGGGTATTAATAGGATAATAGAGGACATTAATAGAACCTTTCGTATTTACCGACCACCGTAAGGAGCACGTTGTCTAAGAAGAGACTAACATACACTACTGTCACAATGATCATACGAGACTTCTTCAAATTATCCAGTGTCATATTGACTCACATGGATGAATTAATACAACTCTTATTATTTATTTATTTATTTATTTAATTATATTCTTTTTTCTGGTCTGATTGGAAAAAGATGGTCAAAGAGATATCCACAAATTTTGCAAATGAAATATTTTCAAGTGTACATAATTCAAAATATCACGTTGATCATCGTTTGTACTTGTTTACAATTTTTCAAACAATTCACAAAATTTCATTAGAAACAATTGACACACATTAATTTTTGCTTATTGATAATCTTTTTCTTTTGGTTTTTTTTCTTTTTTATACAAAATTGTATTGTCGAATATTGGGATGAAAAAGAAAAAAAAATCAAAAATCGTTGATTTTAGTAAAAAATATAAAATAATGTAGCTTTTCTATAGAGTATTCTAAAAGTAACTGAAAAGCCGTACACCCACGATCAAGCTTTTATACGGTCTTTCGTGAGTGCTCGTCCTTGCGCAGAAGGACGCTGCTTTTTCACCTTACCAAAGAGAAATATACTCAACTAGTCTCTTCTCCTAGAGAATATTCCGTACACTTTCACGATCCATTGCACTTTTCGATTTATCATTTATTATATACTTGCTTATCAAACCACACCAGCCATAATATTTTCTTACCGCGATTCTTTTCTTCTTATGAACCCCCACCCCCACCCCCACCCTCACCAGCCATATATGTTCTGGAAGAAAATGTATATATGTAATATCGATAAAAAAGAAATCGTTCGAATACGATTTTCTATTTAAATAAATAAAAACAAAATAGAACAAAATATAGAAAGAAGCAAAAAAACAAATAATAATAATAATATTTGGAAATAAATTGATTTTTTTTCTATCCAAATTTTTTTGTTCAATTAAAAATATTTACAAACATATCAACATATTACAAATTTTAATATTATTTTATATATATAATCATATATATATATATATAATAAATATAATGTATACCGTCATCTGTTAGAATCTTATCGAACTAACAGAGATAATCATGACTCTTTGTTAATAAACAAATAATATTGCGAATTATAAATTGAGATTATAAACTATCCTATCTTTCAAATTGAATGAAATTGCACACAGTGTGCAAAATTTTATTAAAATCGGTTTAGTAGTTTAGGAGTCCATTGCGGACAAACAACGTGACACGTAATATATATATGTATATAAAATTGAAATATAAAATAGATATAAAAAAAATTCAGAAATAAATATATCAAATTTCCTAAAATTTTCATTAAAAAAAAAAAAAAAAAACAAAAAAAAATATTAATTTGAATGAAATAAAATAAAACAAAAAAAAATGTTCGAATGTGCAGATTTTCGTGTATAAAAATATTCAGAGCCCTTTTTGATGGTAATATATTAGTTACATTGTTCTTACGGCCCTGTCATCGATATTCTGTTGATGGGACACGCACCTGTGTCTCGATTGTGAAATTACGATCGACCATAATGCAATTTCAGAAAGGGGAACGAATTGATTCTATACTCTGACGTATATCGGACTACTACGTTATCTTCCTCAATATGGTCCATCCACTCTCTCTCTCTCTCTCTCTCTCTCTCTCTCGCTCTTTCTCTTTTTTTCTATCTTTTTCTCTGTCACACTTTTGTACGGTCATTTTGTAACTTCCGTTAACTTCATTTTCCTATGTGAGTTTATAATTAAGTTAATGGGTTAGCTAATAAGTTATATTGGAATTTCAAATAGTAAATATTATAACATTATTTATTTAATTTATTTTTTAAATGTATAAATAAATATTTATTTAATATAAAAATTATTATATATTTATATATATATATTAGTATTATTTATTTAAATAAGAAATTAATAACAAAATTTCAATATTACTTATATTGACCAACCCAAAATATTTGACATAGAAAATTATAATAAAAATATACAAAAATAATAAATAATAAATATATATAAATTAAATAATAATAATAATAATAAATATATATAAATAAATAAAAATATATATAATATATATATAAAATAAATTAATATAAATTATATTTAATGCAATAAATAAAATTGTAATTTGTTAAATGTATAAATTAAATAAATAAAAAATTAATATAAAATTAAAATCAAATAAAACATATAAGATATTTTTTTATTTTTTTTAAATATTTAAAAATATTAGGATAAATATTATTATTAAATAATATTTAAAATATTTTCACACGTTTATTTTATCGTAAAGAAATAATTATATATATATATATATATATATATATATATATAATGTTAGCATTACTTTATGAAATTAATCAATTTCTAAAATATAATATGTGTGCAATATATAGATGTATATATATACACATATATTAAATTAAAATCGTGTTATTCTATTAATATTAGAGTCTTCGTCTTCCTCACAAATGGTTGCTTCTGTTTGTCCCAATTTCGGACTGGCACACCTCGAAGGATACGTTTCTTCGTGTTGCCTTCGGTTTGGTGATAATCTGTTTTCTACGTAAACGTCTGTCTCGATACAATCTTTCTCTTCCAATATCAATTTTTTGTTCTTTCGTTGTTGACACTTCGGTAAAGCGTAACCCGAATCTATGTTGCTTCTCTCGTTCGGACTGTTGTTTTGTGGCTGAAACATAACGCCACTACTTTAATGTTAAATCATCCTGATTTTCATGACAATTAATCATTTATTCAAGAAAGTATTATTATTCATGTTTTTAATCTAACATTATTATTTCTTGTAATAACTTACGTCAATGTTTTCAACGTAGACACGTGGTACACCATAAGAATTATCAATTTCTCTCATCTCAGGACGATAAGCATAATTATTGTAACCAGGTGTTCTTCTAGGATCAGGACTTCTACAACGATTGATTGTTCTTGGATCTGGGCTTGAATTACCATAATAATTTGGATAGAATGTTGGTGTTGTTGTTTGTAGATTGTTTATACTACCAACAGCCATAGGATGAACGTAATCGTAAAATGCTCGATTCTAAAAATTACAATCACATTAAAATATTACATTTATTTAAATAGAAATATAAT